GCTTTCTTTTAGGTCCTGGAAAAACTACTGAAAGTTTTCAAGAGAGAAAATAGCAAGGTCTTGCTGTTTTCATGCTATACTCAAGTAAGTCTCTTTGTTTTTCTTGGTTTTGTTGGTTCTGTGAATGTATCACGATATTCTTGAGTAGTTTTATTCACGAGTAGGTAGAGTTTTGATAAAGATGAGAAATAATTTGTAAGCTTTCTTCTTTCTTTTATGTCAGTTTGGAAAAATAGTACAAAAGAAATGTACCATGAAAAGGACTGTTCTTCGAATGCCCTCATCTTCAAAATCTGAGGATAAACATCAGTTTAGACCAAACTTTCACACAAAATATTTTTGTATAGTCCCACATACCTATATTTCTGTGTGCAGAACATGTGAGTCAATATCTTCTTATTTTAATACGATTTAACTTGATAAAAGTAATGAAGTTTGTTCATAACAACAAATAATTTGATACTTTCTTACTTGTCTCTTATTTATCAAGCTATTGGATATTCTGGAGATGTTCATGAAGACTACCTCCTACACATACCGAAGATTGGATGGCAAGACTCCAGCGCACAACAGACAGAAGTTGGTTCACGAATTCAACAAGGATCCTGATATCTTCATCTTTCTCATCTCCACTAAGTAAGAAGTTAAAGCCCCACTGTACTACTTACAGCTACTTGCGTCCTCTAAATAGCAAACAATGCCTAATCAGTGACCATTGGTTCACCATGATTCTCTTTTTCTTGTGTTAATTGAGAGCCGATTTGATGAGATAACCACTCATTGACCATGCAGGGAGGTCTTATCACTCCTGGCCAAACTAGTGCAGTAGGGCTTAAAACATGTTGTATATGATTTATAGTTTCTATGTCACCACGCATTTCATCATTGGGTTTAAACTTGAATTTGGATTTGTTCCATGCGTCTACTTTTCATATATATTTTTTCAGGTTCACAATATTACAGAACCTCAGCCATTACTAATACAGTGGAAACTCGTTATAACGAGGTCCTTGGAACCAAGGAAATTACCTTGTTATATCAAGAATCTTGTTATACCAGGGTAAAAAAAACAAAGAATATAAAGAGCTGGGACCAGCAAAATCACCTTGTTATAACACAAACCGAGGTTCCACTATACATGTGATTTTTAACATGCATTGCTCTCTTTCTGAATAAGTGCACATCATTATATTTGTGGGATTGTTTCCAGCATCATGTACACAGTTATTCAGGTTATATATATACCTGGATTAACTTCTTGTTGAAAAGTTGGCTTTTAAACTCTTGGGGTCCAAGACCCAATTGTGACTTGTTACTGTACTTAACAATACAACATATTTCTCTCTGCCAAGCAGTAATCTGTTTTCATTAGGACATTAGGTTTTGAAAAGTCATTGTTAGATTCTATCGTTAAATAAACCACGAACCAATAGTCAAAGTTGATAAAGTATCTTATTATTCTTGGTTGCCTTAGGGCTGGAGGTATTGGTCTGAATCTGACGGGTGCCAACGTCGTCGTGATCTTTGACCCCAACTGGAATCCGACCTATGACCTCCAGGCACAGGACAGGGCATACCGCATAGGTCAGCATCGCGATGTCAGGGTGTACAGGTTCGTCTCTAGGGGATCGATTGAGGAGAATATGTACCTTAGACAAGTCTATAAACAGGTGAGAGTTTGTCTCAACACTAGGAAAGCCAATCTGTTCACCATCCGGGGAAGTGTTTCACAAAGACTAAGATCGACTTTAAGTTGGACTTAACTATAGCAGGCCGTTCAGGCCACTGTTTGCTCTCACCATTTACTGGCATTGGTCTCTCAAGGGATGTACAAATCATGGTCTCAAATCTACAGAATTTATATTTTTTGATAATTCATTATTGAAGGAAAAAATATTGTCTGAAAATCATAATGCTGAGAGCAGTCAGGGACATCTATGGCCTGCCATAGTTAAGTCCAACTTAAAGTTGATCTTAGCCTTTGTGAAACACTCCCCAGGTCTCAATCAAGATGTCTGTAGAATTCAGAAGGAATATATTTTTCAGATGAAAAGCCACAGACGTGAGGAGCAATGAGGATGATATTACTATTTTGTGGTCGTACCTTGAAAATTTTTTTTTATTATTTACTTTACTTCATTTATTTGTGTAACCATTATAAAACTTTCAACATCTTACTTCCTGAGCTCATTATTTGGATGCAAAACTGTACCAATAGTTTCTTTTTCAATAGCTTCTTTTTAGAAATAAACTAAATAGTAAATGGGATCTTTTGAAAGCTGTACTTCTGCTCATTTACATATTTAAACAAAAATGAAATACATATAATCTACAACTTTACAGTGTTTCCTAGTGTATTAAAATAGACATTTTTCCCATCTATTTAAAAACCAGCAAATAGCCAGTGTTGCCATGACAACAGAGAATGCCAAGCGATACTTCACAGCGGTAGCCGGGGACAAGGACCAGCAGGGGGAGATCTTTGGTCTCCAGAACCTCTTTGCTCTGAGAGTGGACGGGTCTTGTCTGACCAAAGATGTAATTCAGGTGAGCTTGAGAGTCTCTAAGCCCCTTTGTAAATAATGTACATAATTTTTGATGTCATACTTAGAGTTAAGATCAACATAAGATCTTTGTGACCCCCCCCCCCCCCCAAGGAGTTAGAGAAATAAACATATGGGTACATCAATTGAAATACATAAATAAACAGGTTATATTGATACAGGTCAAATTTGAATTGAAAATCAATCTGCAGCTGGCTAAAAATGTGTGGTCTCCGTATATGCATGTTCGTTGTTTGTCTATCTGTGCAGTCTATCCTGAATAGAATTCCATTGCTGGTGAGGTCTAAGTAAAATTCATTTCCATTAATTCTTGTGCTGGGTCATCTACATGTAATAGCCTAAACAAACATTCACAAAATGGTTAAAACTTAAAGAAGGACTGCACTACTTACAACTACGCCCTCTATATAGTAATCAATGCCTCAGCGGTACCCTTTGGTCCCCCATGATCCCCTTTTTCTTATGTTAATTGAGAGCTGATTTGATGAGATAACCCCCTGTATTAAAGTGACCATGCAGGGAGGTCTAATCCCTCCTGGCCAAACTAGTGCAGACAGGCTTTAAATAGCCTTGAAATGTATGCATGTTATGTGAAGTGACAATTTGCTTTGTGTCAAGTAATGTCTATTTCATTCATTGTTGCCATAGAGAGAAGAGAAGATTGAGCTGGGCATCTCCATGGCCAAGTACAAGCCACAGACATCGGTCGAGGAAGCACCAGAGGATTCATTAGATGAGGTCAGAACATTTATTACACTTGGACTCCAATCCATAGTAAGGCCTAAAAAAAGAAAGATTATATTGCCCTTTAGGTACCAAAACATGGGTCAGTCAGTCTGAATTTTTTTTTCTCCCTCTTTTGGCTGATATTTCTCAGTTTTTTATTCATCAAACATTTTTTTTCTAAAAAATGGTTTAAAAAAACTTTTTTTTAAAAGCCGACCGTAGATTTCAAGATTTTTGGGTCCGTCGCAAAGGGCAATACAACATTTTTTTTGTTAGGCCTTATGATGATAAGGATATCTTCTATGGCACCGGTATGCCCCATCTAGGTGCTCATGGCGCCTACTTCAAAATATAACACATAATTAGTTAAATTCTGTACATGTACTACTTGTGGTCTGTACAGTTATAACGATATTAAATAGTTCAAGAAGTAGTTTGCAGTGTTTAGTCAATAGTCATTTGATTTTTACGTCAGAATGGCCAGTTTTTCAAATTAAAGAGATGTGCCTTGATTCCATGGTAGGAGCTGCTCAGATAAAGCATGAAAAGCCATTGCAAACCTTTACAGGAGCCACTAGGAATGAACGCTCACCCCAGGAATTACATGTTTTATGTTCTGCAAGAAGAAATCTGTCTGCAGAGCATAGTTTTTCTTTTGCCAGGACGATATATTTGTAATTATGAATTGTTAGTCTATTAATCGTCCTTGAGAGCTGTTGCTGTACTTATTTGAGCCACCTGAATATTGTTAGTTTATCTTAATTGGCACCCTTGTTTTTCCCAAAAACTAAAGAGGCTATTTTTTATTAATATTTGCTTTGTTTTTGTTTATCAAAAGATCATGATTGCATTTCATTTGTTCTCGATAACTTGACTGAAGATATTTACAAATATTTTTATATACATTTATATCATAAATATTGCTTTGAAAGACTCCATTTCATCCAGTTATTCTTATCCTAATGAGAAAGAGAGAGATATTTTTGTTGTGTGTGTGTATGAGAGAGAGAGACAGAGAGAGAGAGAGACAGAGGGAGAGAGAGGAAGAAAGAGACATAGAGAGAGAGAGAGAGAGAGAGAGAGAGAGGAATAGGAAAGAGAGAGAAAGAGAGAGAGAGGAAGAGAGAGGTAGAGAGAAAAAGAGAGAGAGAGAGAGGAAGAGAGAGATAGAGAGAGATGAAGAGACAGAGAGAGAGATAGAGAGAGAGATAGAGAGGAAGAGAGAGAAAGAGAGAGAGAGAGAGAGAAAGAGACAGATAAAGAGACAGAGACATAGACAGAAAAATAAAGTATTTTAACCATCTGTCCATCTTTATTGAAACTATGATTATCTCCTTCTCCCTGACTCCTGTAGCTTCTCCAAGAGGACGATGGTGGTGATGAGGAGTCCAGAGAAGCCAGAGAAGAAGACGAGGACGATGATGATATCCATGGAATGGATTCACAGTTACTAGAGGTCGAGGATGAGGTCGACGATGAGGATGAGGATGATGATGCTCATATCCATAGCAACGATTCTGAGATGCAGGAGGAAGACAGTAGGAGTCCTTCCAAGAAAACATCTCCTAGGAAATCCAGAGTGAGGTCATCGATCACAGCATCTCGCAGGATTGGTGAGAAGCTGCACATTTCATTCCCGCCAAAAATTGTATGATGTTAGACTCAATATTATACAGATATTGACTGGCAGGGGGTGTAATATAACATTCTTTGGACCGCTGAAGGGATATCATGTGACGAGCTCTGGACCATCACGTCTCGGTATCTGTCAAAGCTATCTAATTTAACTCATTGTTTTCAGTAATTGATTACTGAATTCTTTCATTCCCATAGGCTTGATATGGGATCCACCTGGTTCCCAGAGTCAATGGGTTAAAATAGTAAAGCTTTTTGTATTTTCCTCTGGGAGAATGGCGTGATTGTAATACCAATGATTGTATGACTTTACTCTCAATATGTCAGTTAATTGTTTAGAGATTATGTAAAGTTAGCTATCTTTGGCTTTGGGAAGGGGGGGGGGGGGCAGTTAGGGCTGGAGGGAGACATGGCTGAATTGTGAATTGAATTGCTCCTCCATCCATTGATGTCTTTGTTATCAACAATTTTTCACCTTACATTGTACATGAAGGAAATGCAACCTGCTTCTTTTCTGAACTGTTTGAATTTTCTTTATTCCCTTTCTATTATTGGTCAACAATGAAGACGACCACGATGATAGTGATGATGATGTAGAAGATGGATGGAGGGACCAACCGAGAAAGCTGGCTCGTGGAAAGGCAATTCTTGGGAAGGATGGACAACCTGTTCAGAAGGTCAAAGGCCAGACAAGAAGGCAGTCACACAGCCCCCACAGTGATCACAGTAGATCAAGGACAAGTGCCAGGGATGATGATGATGATGGTGATGATTATCATTATGAGGATGAAGATGGAGAAGAGACAAGAGGAGAGATGGAGAGAGCACAACGAGGAAGGAAGGAGGATGCAGAGACAATGAGAAAACAGAGGGTTTATCGAATGGACAGTGGCAACATCAAAACAGCAGAGGATGTGTTTAGTAAGTCTTAGATTTAGCCTGTTTTTCTTGTAGTTCAGCTGTTCCAGAAAACTGGTCAGAAAATTGTTATTGGGCTTGACCACATTATCAGAAGATTGCCTTCATGCTCTAACTTATACCTTTAATGTATGGTTTAAACAGAACAAAGTACAGTAATTTGTACACATTCTTACCAAAGTTACATTTATCTTGATGGACTTTTCTGTATTGTACCAGTACTGATACGTCACATATTGTGTTTATCTCATCATGTGCATTATAGTTGGCATTCATATTCAAAAACTAAATTTATTTCGGATTATTCTGAAATAATAAATGATTTTCCTTCAAACATTATTACATGTTATACTCCTGGGGGGGTGTTTCACAAAGATCCTAAGTAGAACTTAACACTAAGTTGGACTTAAAAATTATGGACAGCCATTGGAGCCTTAAAATGAAATATATTCAAAAGCAGAAATTCAAGTATTTTAGACTTTTTATAAATTCCACAACAAGAACATGAAATCTTCTTGATGATAGAAAATATGAATGATTTGAATCAACATTTTATGCCTTTCAAAATAAATTTTACAAAATATTTTCAAAGATGCTAATGGCTTTCCATAATTTTTAAGTCCAACTTGGAGATAAGTTCAACTTAGGATCTTTGTGAAACACCCCCCAGATTTACTTACATGTACATGTAAATGTACTCTGCGATTGTTTAAACCACTGGCATATATGTTGTGAAATATTGCAACTACCAGGTACATGTACAACCCCATTTCAGTAACATGGCAAAACCATGGCTTTTTAAAATTATATAATGATGTAAAGTGTATTACGCTTCATATATGTATATATCTTAAAACCACTGAGCTCATGGAATACGCACAGAACCTTTGTTGCATGCAGTTACCATTCATATACACTCTTATAAATACAGTGCCGGCTGTTTTGCCGCAGTTTACCACGTCATATCTGAACGAGCCTCTATCCTTCCTGGGGGTGTTTCACAAAGACTAAGATCAACTTTAAGTTGGACTTAACTATGGCAGGCAGTTCATGCCACTGTTTGCTCTTACCATTTACTGGCATTGGTCTCTGTAGGGACGTATAAATCGTGGTCACAAATCTACAGAATTTACATTCTTTCATACTTTATTATTGAAGGAAAAAATATTATCTAAAGACCATAATTGAGAGACCAATAGGGAGATCAACCAGTGGCATGAATGGCCTGTCATAGTTCAAGTCCAACTTAAAGTCGATCTTAGTCTTTGTGAAACACTCCCCTGTTGTTTCTTATGCAGAAAGGTGTGGTGTAGAGTATGTGCATTCAAATCAGAAGGTTGTCGGAGGGAGTCGTTTTGAGGACCATGTCAGCAAGGTGGCCCAGAAGGATGTCTTTGAGATGGGCCAGTTCAGTCAGGAACCTGCCTACTGCCAAGTACCCACACTAGACCTGGTAAGTAGAGCAAGAACAGATCCCATTTCAATCACAGGGCAAAACTGGAGCCACTCCTACCACCCATCCTCTCCAACCGGCGCTATAGTTCTCCTTACAACTATAAGCTAAGAAAGATAACCAACAGTCCTTTTCAAGACTACACCAACAGTCCTTTTCAGGACTACACACACTCAAGAAAGATTACAGAGAGTCCCTTTCAGGACTCCCCAATCCTCCCTCTCTCTCTCTCTCACATGGTGCAACCGCATGCCTACTGTATAGGAACAGATCATATTCATAGACACAAATTACTGCATTTTTATGGTACAAAATGCATGCAGCTACAATGTATTTTCTTTTATCTGTACACAAGACTTGGAATTCATGATGCCGCCACCATATGGATGACAGAGAGACACCCGTTATAGTATGTCTATGTCTTCCCATGCCCTCTCCTTGAGTGCTATCAAAACCTGTATGCCAGCTAGACAGAGCTTCTTTTTCATCGATGGCTGTCTGTGGAATTCCCTCTGTGACCTTCTTTGCAATAAAAACCAAGAATTCTAGAATGCAAGGCATAAAGGGGATTTTTTTTTGAAAGTTCTAAAAGATATGTCCCATAGATTAACTATTTGTGCCAGGAGATCCCCATAAGCCTTATATACACTGTATATAGCTGTACTAAGAAACGCACTTATGCAAATTGATTTTTTTTTTAATGTGATTTTACCAATATACATTATTTGGTATGACTTTTACATGTTACCTGCCTAATGATCTGGAAATTAAATGTAGAACAAGTTTTAAAAATTCAAGTAGTCATTTCAACACTTCCAAAAAATTATCTTCAGGTTTTGAAAGGGGTCATTATTATATTTGCACATTATACTAGGCTACTAAAATTGCCTTAAGGTTTTTTTCTCCCCAAAATGTTACTTTGTGATTGTGTTGTGCTTATTCGAGACAACCTATAAATTAAACACCTCCTTTAATATGACAACATAAACTTCACTTGACTTCTAGGAAACTGTTACAAGCCACCGAAAGCCGAAGCTTGCTGGGAGGCGCACGCATGCTACTAGTCATCGCTTGGGAGATACAACTTTACTTGTTGGACAAACCCCTATCGGTGTTAGAAGGTGATTACAGTCTTTGTTATATCATACACCAGATAATAATTTTGCAAATCTGGATCCCTCAGAAAATTTGTGAACATGTCACGCATGTGGCAGTAACAGAGAGGACAGATCCTTGAGTCGTAGTGATGAAATTTCCCTCTTCCCTTCCCAGGCTTAGTGATACCAAAACAATGCAATACAAATGATAAGTGTCTTCTTTTACAGTATTTAGGTGCCTTTTTTGTTGGAAATGCAAAGTAACTACTTTTCATATTGTCACAATTGAATCTCAGGGATCAGTTCAAGGATATGGCATCAGTACTAGCAGGCTTTAGGAGCCCCTCAGCTCTGGCAACTCACATCCAAGGGCTTTCAGATGAGGGCTGTCTCAAGCTTCTTCTATCATACAACAAATCCAAGTATGACATAGACTTTGATGAGTTCATTAAACTACCAACCCAACCAACCAATGGTCCCAAGTCTTCAGGAGACACCGGAACTAGAAAAGAAAAAGGAGAGATGTCAAAACCAACATTGGTTGAGACTAAGGGTCGAGGTCGAGGGAGAGGGAGAGGTAGAAGGGAGAGTAGAGCGAAGAGGCGGGAGGTAGCACCTGTAGGTCGCTGGAAGGCTGCAGCTGGACTCGAGTTTGAAGGAACCTTGAGTGATGATAGTGCACACATTGATAGCGAAGACATGGAAGGAACACGCCCATCTGTAAAAAGGAGTAATAGTAGAACAAAATCTGCAAGGTTGGAAAGAGAAAAGGAGAAGGGAAGAAGGAAAAGAAGGAGTGGTGGTATGGTCAGTCATGAAGTGTACCAGGAACTCTTTGATGATGACTCCTCGGATGAATGTGAGGAAGGTCATGAAGATGCTAAGATCTACAGGACGGGTGCAGGGAACAGGCACAGTAAAGCCATTGCCTCTGAAAGTTGCAGGAAACAGAGCAAGGTGGTGAGATCGACAGATGAGCAAAATAAAGATGGATATGAGAGATTGGAAACGACCCAGCAGGAAACAACGCAGGAAGGATCAAAGGATGATGCATTGTCAACCGCACGTCCAAAGACAGATGAAAGCATGTCTTTCTTGGATGATATATTCCTCTCGGATGCCCGGACACCCCGCAGAAGGCCACCTCCAAAGAAGCATGTTGCCAGGCGAGACAAATCCATCACCATGGCAACAAGCGAATCCGACTCCATATTTGGTGCGGAGAGCATAACAGAGGAAAGGTGTGATCCTAACTCGAGGGTATCTAAAGAGAAGGATAGGGTTTTTGAAGATAATGCAACTGTGGGATCAACCCTCTTCAACAGATCTAGAGTTCCTTTCGAAACAGACGTCATCATGGATACAGTAGTAGATAATGATGATGGGGATTTGTGGAAGCGTAATGAAACATTCTTGCCTCAGCAAACATATTTTGAAGAATCTGAAGAGAGCGAGGATAGTGAATCTCTGTTTGTGAGCAATCCTAAATTCAAGAGTGGGTCTGGAGCAATCACATGAGGTCATAATCTGTACAACTAAATTCATTTGAATGAAATAAGATCATGAATATTCATATTATGCAGGCCTGATAATTACCTGATTTAAATCAGTTTCCTGATTTTGGGGATTTTCCCCCATTTTTTTCCTTCTGTTTTTTAATTTTTTTAAAAATCTTCCTCACGATTTACCCCTATTTCCCTTTATTTCCCTAATTTCCCCTTATTTTTCTCAATATTTCCCCAATTTCTTACTCAAAAGGGGGGAATTTTGTTTGACTAATTTTATCTCTCATCGCATGAGTTTTAATTTGTACAATTCAAATCATTTGAATTTTAATAAGGATTATGAATATGCATGATATGCTAATTTTATCATGAGATTTTTTTAGCGTCAAGAACAAAGTGATAATCATGAGTTGCAGTACACTGTGGATGTCTGGACCCGGACTTCGCCGAGGTAGCTTAGCTTTGTGAAGTGGCAGTTAATGCTGCTGCTTTTATGACCGAGGAAGGCACCTGACCAATCTACCTACCTGTTTTCCTTATCTAGGACTTTCTAAAAAAGAAAATCACATTTCTAGAAAGTTCATTTTCTGCCCTTTCATATGACACCTCAATCAGGAAATGCATGGCTGATTGTCAAAGAAAAAGGAGTTAAGTCTTTTGTCAACTCTGCTTGTTGCTACGGCAGGCAGCCAGTGAAAACAAGTTTGTTTAATCAAATTATGGAAATGCAAGCATTACTTTAAAGCAGAAAATGAACTTTCTAGATATGTGTTTCTCTCATTGAAATACCCAAATTGTTTTTAATCACTCATGCGTGAAATATGCATATATCGTTCCTATTTTCACGAAGTGACGGTAGTGAGGAAAATCGCATTCAATTTGCGTGATGATTGTCCTCACTACCGTCACTTCCTGAAAATAGGGACGATATGAGTTGCATTAAATGAAAGAGGAGGATCTAAGCTCTACAAATACCTGTATGTGTCATTTATTAATTATAATTGTGATTAGGTTATGATAAAACATTGATAACTCTTGGTTTCGTTTTTCTGGGAGGCACTGTATAAAACAAATGGCCATTTTTGTAATAGATTTATTTTTGTCATAGGGATTGTCTGGATTATTAGTCATAATCTTTCCAGGCATTTTGATCAAGATTTCACAAATCATACTATTTTTAGATGATAGTAATGGTATATGATTATATACCTGTATAAAACAACTGAATCATTACCTGTTCTAATGAAATTGCCTTTAGACCATGATGAAAAAAGTGTACAAGTTTTTGTATGTAAAGGAGTATATGTTGCATTTTATCTTGCCAGTTAATATACATTTTTGTTCAGACGCTATCCAGCTTTGATAGCTTCTAAATAGCTGTCTTGCCTTCCCATTATACATTTATACCACATCTCTGAGTTCTACTAATTGCGTTGTCTTTGGTTTCTTCTGTAGGGTCCTGCACAATTTCATGTACATGTTGTCCCTGACTAAAGTAAACAGGTCTTTGGTCTTCTCATCGCTATGTGCATCAAAGTTGGAGGTAAATCCATCCTTAAAGGCATTGTTTAACAATGTTAAATCTGAGATGCATGGCCCTACGTATTATCAGTGTCTGTGATATGGTGTAATATTGAAGCCGTAAACAAAATTGCGCTTCAAAATGATCGTGAAGCACCTCAAAAAGTGAAAATCTTTGAGTGACTGGTTTTACCATACCGGTACTCATTTTCCCCAATAGACTATGTGTTGCAAAAAACCGTTTGGAAAACAAAAAATAAAATTTTCATTTCCAATCATAAATATATTAATAATCAGACAGGCGATCGGCTTGTAAAAGTCAAGGGATTCCTGACTGACCTAAAGGTTTATGATTATGATTGCAGCATGAGCTAAATCCAGAATTTTGTTTCAGTATCTGAGGCAATGTTACCGAGTCACTTTAATGTAGGATTTTGTCTTGAATATCATGTATGCAGGTAGGATTTCACATCAAGAAATTTAAAGATGATTTGCTCCAAATAAAGTATTCATTTAATGTGATATCATGCACATCTATTCAAATTTTTAATGGATTGTGTTATCGGTTTTTTTACATGCATTTTACAAGTGCAATCTGTCTTTGATGCCCTGAGTACACTATACAAATATGAGTGTTATATTTCTTGCCATATTTTTTGTATGAGAAAGAGGGAGTTGTAAGTTCTATGTATTCCAAACCAATATTTCATATAATTGTATTATACCACTTTTGAAATATACTCAAAATAAAACTGTCATTCTATGAAAAGTCATGAAAAGTCATGAAAAGGTGTATACTGTTTCATCTTTTTGTAGGATTTCCTCTGATAAACCTACAATCTGGATAGTTCAGTGAAGAAGGATATGACATTTCTTAGCGGCAGTTTTTTTTTATAATCGAGCAACTATACCTAACATAAGAGTAAAATGAGACTCTAAGCTTTCTTTGATTCACATCTTCCCCAAAAATAGTATCCAAAGTTAAGTTCATTTTTTCAAGATTAATAATATTTTCTAATCACAATATATTTTATGAATATCTGTTAACAGGCGAGAGACGGACAACGATGAAGAGAGGAGAGAGAGAGAGAGAGAGAGAGAGAGAGAGAGGGGGGGGGGGGGGGCGAGAGAGAGCGAGAAATGGAAAGAAAAAAATAGATATGTTACAAAGCTTTGAAAAGGGGAAAATTGGCAAAAGTTATTACAGAGGTTTTGGACAAAGGGGGAAAAGGAAGAGACCACTGTTCGATTGGATCGTTATTCTAATCGTGTAAAAGCCCAGTTTAGTAAAAACAAAAGTGATACAATTGCCATACATAACATCCGTTTGTTCTGCAGGAGTTCCGCCTGCACGCAGTCAAATGGGTTCATCGGGAAACGGGGATACTGCGGCTAGCATCGTTGATCTACTAGCTGTCGGTGGATATAGAAAGCCCCCAAACATGTTGATTTGTGATTAAAAGCAGGTATTAAAGAAACAGGCGAATTTGAAAATGTATCCCCTTTTCCATCTTAAATTCAAGCTCATTGTTTACTCCCTTAAGTTAAGTCTTAGATTTGCCCGAATTGGCAGTCGGGTGTCATAATTTTCACCCCTGTTTATAGACTCGTCCAACTACATGAACACGTAGGCCTATTAGAAAACAAAATACTTCTCAATTAAGTTCTCGTTTAAACCAAATCATACGGGGATAGGGCCCTAGAACACAATCATAACATCAGAAGGTCAGATAAACCGTATAATAAACAATTAAGAAATATCAATCAATTATCAATCAATTTATATCTGATCTAGACTGTAAAACGTAGTTCTTAATTGTATTTATTTTGAACAATATAATAAATGGGAAGATTGACTTTGCAGTATTATGGGCTTTATAAAAGAAATGTGCGAGATGGACAGTATTAAATGGATTACAGTTTCATGAAGAATTGCTCATGTGTCTTCAGCGCTCATTTATCTATTACGTGTATCATACAAATCTGTACCACTCCCCCCTCCCCCAACGAAATAGGTTAAGAGAGGAAGAAGAAAGAGAAGCTCTTTTTTAAAGGAAGCACACAGGAAACCTTGGCCATATTTTAAGATCAAATTTTTCTTTTATAAGTTAAAATGGAAAACCCCTTACCTAATGGTGACAATAACAGGAAGATATTCGATGTTTTATAACAACCATGTGTCCTGGTTTTATAGGTTTATTTCCTGAAATAGATCATGTAGTTCGTTATCATTCTTTTTATAACTCAACTGCGCTAAATTTACATGTTTGTTTAATGTAATAGTTCAACCCGATTAGTATCTTGATGCATTAAAAAAAAAAATCTTTTCAATTACCGGAAGATATTCGATGTTTTATAACATCACATGTCCTGGTTTTATCGGTTTAATGCCTGAATCAGATCATGTAGATTGCTATCACTCTTTTCACCACTGAACGTCGTGCCTTGCATGCTTGTTTAATGTAATTCAACTCGATTGATATCTACATGCATCTTTTTTCTTCTTCTTAATTTCTTTCAATTAAATTCTAATTAAAATCATGAGGGTTGAGTTTTGGTCAAGGTAACAAACAAAAACTGAGGGTTTGTTTGTTTATTTATTTAAATACGGTGATTAAAAAACATGCTTTCAGCTTAGCATAGCTGTTTTTCAGCATGTCCGTACATGGTACATTAAAATACATATGAATAAACAGATAAAACACAAACATTAAACAATAACAAATACATAATATAAAATAAGTAAATGTAAAGAAAGACAAAAAATACAAATTAAAACAAAATAAATATAATGCAAGTTCAACAAAAGAAATACAAATGCAAGTAAAACAGAAGGAAAAAAAATATTAATGAAACTAGAAAGGGTTGGTGTATAATTACTCTTTTTATTCTCAACATAGTATGAATCTCACAATGGCGAAGTTTGAACATCTATTTTCCAAAGGGGCGGGGCGGGGCGGGGCGGGGCGGGGCGGGAGGGGGCCGTGAAATGTACCAAGCAGCAAAATGGTAAAGGCAAGTTGTGGCGCCTACGCTGTAAGCGTGCCCGATCGCCCTGCTAGAGGGGTCTTTTTCTGTAATCTACAGCATATTATGTTACCCCAAATGAGGACACTTACATCATCATTTTGCACAGCTTAAGATATGTAGATGCTCATTTTAATAGGTGATGGAAAAGGCTAGTAAAATTGCATCAGGTTGAAATTTCGAAAGTCTTTGTGATCGATCGTATATTTTGTTGTTTCAAACCTTTTACTAAACAAAAGTGTTGTATGTAATTATTAGCCGATTGGATATGTCGATGTGAATGGGAGGCGCGGGTAGTACCTTCACCCCCAGCCTTTCAACTTCTTCTAAAGGCGAAACAAAGAAAGGCTAGGAATAAAGGGGAGGATGGAAAAGAGAGTGACAAGGTGAATATAGGACCCTACCTCCGATCTGTTTAACTTGTTAATTCGCCGCTTCAATTCTCCTGGTGTAAACCAAGTATACCCCCGCCTCCAAGGAAAAAGGCATCTAGCATAGAGTATTAAGAGAGAGAGAGAGAGAGAGAGAGAGAGAGAGAGAGAGAGAGAGAGAGA